CTTGGCATGAGCTTTTTTCCCTCTGGACTGTTTTGATCAGTGGAAGGAGAGGAAGGAGGGTCTAAAACAAATTCTCACAGAAACCCTATGTTATCATATGTGTTGTCCAACACCAGACTATTTCATTAAAGGCACATGCTTGATTCAAGGTTATAACAGAAGCACCCTCCTATAGTCCAAAACCCTCAAGAGATTCCTGTTGCGTAGAAAGGTCCTCAAAACAGCAGCAGTGGCTTCACGTGGGTGCTTATCAGGAATGTAGTGTCAGGCCCACTCAGGCCTGTTGTATCAGAATCTGTATTTTAATAAGAACCCCAGGAATCTGGGGTAAAGCCCTTTATTACTTCCTGAAGGCACCGTTCACCAGCTCCACATCCTTATACTTCTGCTCTCTCCTTCAGTCCTGCAATGATTTCTCCCCCTTTTTGACCTTAGGCCAAATCTTTCCCGTCCTTTAAAATCTGACTTTAAAATTCTCACCTCCTCCAGGAATCTAAGCCAGATTTTCCCGATCAGAGGCCCCTCCTTCCTCTAACTCCATGTGCCATAGTCTTGAACTTTGTCTCAGATTATGACTTTTATGATCACTATTTATTTTCCTCTCTAAATTATGAGCTTTTCAAGGTCAAGGTCTATATCTGATTTACGCTTATATTTCCCAAATCCTCACAATACTTGGCAAAGTTTCTATCACAGACTAGTTCCTCGATACATTTGACTATGATGGTTCTTTTTGTTTCCATTTTAAGTATTGAAGACGATTCCGAAATTCAGATTATTTTTGTTTTTTAAGACAACCGTTGCCATATATAATTATGATCTAGATTTGGAAATATCTACTTAAAATATTTATCTAAAATTATCACACATATACACAAACATCCCCTGCCCCACACTCACACACATTCACAACACACACTTTGTCTGTTTCATTTGTATCACCCCAACATACACACACTCACACACACACACATTCACAACGCACACTTTGTTTCATTTGTTTTCCATAGTTGGAACAGCGATTAGTAAGAATTTATTGAAAGTATGTGGGAAATGACTGCTATTCACATTTTGTAAGCTTACTAAGACAAAAGAAAGAGCCTGATCCTATTATAGAATGGAACAGAATGATACACAGATCCCAGTCTCTATCAGGATCTGCATTTGGGACAAGCAAAGGTCCCCTGGCCCTTGTTCAGTCACTTAATGGAGAAGACTCCAAAGACAGAGTACCACTGGTGTTCTTCCAATTATAGAATCATCTGATTAGAATTACAGTAAATGCATAGCTCAGTTTGCATTGTCCTGACATGAACCACAGACCAAGCTGCTCTTCTTGGCACATCTGAGGGTACTGATCTCTGGACATCTACTGCCTCATCATAGTGAGGTCCTAAAGCCAGGACCGAGTTGGAAATGGGACAGACACAAGTTAAGACATTCCATTTCTGGGAACTCTAGAACTCTGGGGGCCTTAGCTAGATAGATTACTTAATCATTGCTTGAAAGAAAAATTCAAATGGCACACACTCAATAGTAGATCAACCCAGATAATCAGAAGGAAGGTTTGTCTTTGGGATAATTTTAGAATTAACTATTGTAGTTACTTCCAACCTGTCCTCTAGAGTCTTAAGAGATGGTCCACAGAGTTTTGCCAGTCATGGGGTAGTGTCTTAGCCCATGAAGAAATTGGTTCTCATGTTCTTCCTAGCTATGGAAGAATAAAGTAGGAATTCTGCAGAAGAATTGCAGACATAACCTTCCCTTCCCACTTATCTACTTACAGCTTGAGGCTCAAGCCTCATCGGGCTATTGGAACCAAATCCAAATGTTGTGTTATTATTGTTTCTCATTTAATCACCAGACTGTTAAGCATTACTGCCTGAAACCCAGTCAGGGGATGGGCACTTCACTTTGAAGCCACCAAGTCGAAAGTGCTATTGGATGAAACTCTGCTCTACTGAACCATGAAATGGGTTTTCAAAGGGGCCGAGAATGATAGACGTGTGAGCTGTCAGTAAAACTGTCTCACCAGAGTGGCAACATTCATAATGAAGCAGAAGGAAGTGCTACCATGTGATGGGCATCTGTCCAAGTCACCCACAGAGCCAGGCCAAATTGCAATCAGAGGTAAGATGGATATCAGCTTTGGAACCTCCCGTCCCTTGCATCACTACTGTGAATGACAAGAGTTATACAAGGACACAAAAGTATTTTGCTCTGGTGACAGTTGTCTTTCAGTGCTGGAACTTGCTAGTTGAATGACTCTCTGAGCCTATTCCTCATCCAGTCCTACCTACCTCACTGGGTGCTTATGAATAGCTAAGAAAATTAACTGAATTGGGGGTTAGCCTGATTCAGGTTGGGAGGATAAATCTACTCTCTTCTAAAACTTCTTAGTATAGGTCAGATCAAAAAGGTCCTTTAATGTCTTATAGCATTAAAGTTTTTGCCACTTTTCTCCCCTATTTTGAACCAACCAAATGAATCATAGATACATGAGAGATTAGCTAAATTAGAGGTATTAAAATCAATGAATATACAAAAATCAAATCATAGATATACTGTATATGTGCTTACATCATTGGGAATAAATTAAAATATAAAAACTTGCTAGATTTCACAAGCAAGTGTTGAACTGTCTGGGGAATTCATTCTTAGAAGCTTGAAGGGAAAGCACTAGATAGTAGAGGTAAAGGGGAAACTTTTAACAGCTGGTAGTTTAGACCAATCCAATGTGCCCACCCTGGCTGTGCCTCATCATGATATCCATCACCTTTCCCTTGGATTGCAATGACTAAACACTGCACTGCTTAAATCATCAATCAAATTTCATTTGGCATCAGTTCAGATGCACCGAGCCCTTACCAACAGAAAATGTTGAAACTGTGCAGAAGGCATCCGTGAAATGCTGGTGCTAAAAGTGTGGAGAAAATTCATTTCCCTTTAGGCTCAGATGGCAGAACATCAACAGAAAAAAGAGGAGGCCTTTCCATGTGCAGATACAGGCAATCCAGTGACCAATGAGCCAACGCAGTGATCCAAATCCTGGTTAAATGCTGACCAAAGTCTCCTATGAGGGCTGCTGATCCTTCAGCCATCATATACCAACTAACTTGCTTTAAAGATGGAGAAAATCAGGGCTACACATTGGGAAAGAGACCATGTCCAAGGTCATATAGACTATATGTGCTAAACTCAAGGCAAAAATGCTATGCTCCGATTTCAGAACAGTTGTTCCTACAGCATACCAACACCCTTGAGAATTGTCATAGTTCATTAAGTTCCCGGAATGGGGACTTACTGAGTAACATGGAAATCTCTTCTTGTTTGTCTCTGAAGGTTTCAGAATCTAAATTTCTTTAGGTTCTTGCAAACAAAGTAGAAAACCCTGCCATGGTTTGGTTTTCAGAAAGTGGCAGCTCAGAGCTGTAGAAATCTGAACTCTCACCCCAACTCAGACACTGATCCTTGCCTGTGAAGTATTTCAGCTCCAAACTGAAGTTCCTTTGTAGCCTTTGGAGGAAGAGGGATGTTTAGAAATTAAAACAAATCATGGAAATCTTCTCTTTTCAGGAGTGTTCCAAGGAGCCCAGAGGAGCATCAGTGCCCTGCATCTGTCCATAGCCTCTTCATTTAGACATGTGGGTACAGAAATGAAAAGCTACGGACAGGCAGTTTTAAGTCCCTTGCTGTGTATGTCTGCATAGACATAGTCATTTAAAGCTAGAGCTGTTTTCCGACTTTAAGCATCAACTTCAAATGGTTAGTTTTTGAATGAATGTCTGTAGACTATTTGTGTGCTGTCATTTCTTGTTTGTATCAGGTGTGAGGAGTGTATATGTTCTATCTCACTGTAGGAGACGATGCTAATGCATGATGGTTCTAGTCACAGAGTAAAACCCAAGAATGGAAATCAGTGAAAAGCCCAAGACCAGGACTGAGCAGCTGTTTCTCAGGGTGAACTCAAAGGCATGAATTCAACAACTGAGTTCAGGGAAGTCAACAAAGTCTTGCTAGCTTCTAGACCATTCTGTCTTGTTTTACTAGCTTATTTATCCTGTCATCTGATTCCTTTGGTTAAGGCCATCCTTCTGGAACAAAGTTCCCTGATGATGTTCCCTGTGTCTACTACTCTCTCAGTACACACACACACACACACACACACACACACACACACACTATCCACTTTCCAGATTCAGCTCTAATGCTATTTCTTCAGAGGTCCTTCCTTATCATCTCTGCTCTCCACAAAATACCTGTCCACCCTATTGAATGGATTTTCCCACCATTTTTCACATTATACAAGTTTATGAAAACAATCACCGGAATGTGACCATCTGATGAGTCTCTGTCCTCTTCTTGGATGTCAGGAACTGTTCTTACTTTTAAGTCACCCTCATACCCCACAAATAGCCCAGCACCTGGAACTGAAGTTGTATGTGACAGATAACTGATAGACTATCAGAAAAATGAACAAGTACTCAAAATCCATTTTGTATTAAGTGGACTCTTTTCTAGTTCAGGGTCAATTTTATTAGAGTTAAAAAAAAAAAAAGACACCCTAGAACAAACAAGCTGTAAATCATAGAAGCTTCCCAGAGAATGGAAGAAGGATAAAAGCCGTGTGGCTTGAGTTAAGCTGGCATAGAGGTCAGCCAGGTGGCAACAGGCAGCCATGTGGCAGGAAGGGGGCTTGAGGAAAAGAGTAAGGAAGCCCAAAGTGTTACAGAAAGCATATTTAGAACAAAAATAGAAAGGAGACTAGGAAAAGTTGTGCTTTTCTGAGTAATTCAAGAACACACGCAGACTTACAAAGCCACACAGCTGTGCTCTGTGAGAGACTGGCTAACATTAATATGGCTCTAAAACCCTGTTCCAATTACTTGACAACTGCCACCCTGCTATCCATTCATATCTAACCTAGTACCTGACATTTCTTATACTCCCCCACCTGAGTGAACCTGCAGCTCCCACGACCCTGGTTTCCTGCCCTAGATTCCATGTTTAGCAAAAGCCTCACACTTCAAGGTCTGGCTAAAGAACTGCAAAATCTTTCTCGAACTCTTCATTGATATTCAGTGCCCCTTTCTCTGTCTTTCCATGGCATCCTGTGCTCAACATTAGCTAAAGCTCTGAGTAGCTTACCTAAACATCTTCTATGAGGGCTCTGCCTATGGATGGGGCTCTCAGATAATATCAAGGGATAAATCGAAGTACCAAGGGCTCCCATTAAGGACTGCTGAGATTCTCAAGAGCACAGGCCTCTAGCAACCACTCTAGTGCTGAAGTATTGTACACAAAGTAAGTACTCATCATGAGTTGGCTTGAATACTGGTCTCCCCCAGAGGTGATATAGGGAGACACGGAAATGTGACAGAAGTACTGTAAGCTTGAAGTCCTACAGGTTTACCTATAGTGTAACCTTGGTAAAATGATCTCACCTCACTAAGCACTATGTTCTGCATCTGAGGGTAATGCCACAGCTCAAGACCTTTGTGAAGGGGGGTGAGTTTGAATCCATTTGCCGGGCACTTAGGACAGACTCAATTCCCATCACTTTTCTCCTCCCTTATTTTCTGAGAATCACAGACACTGGCCAGACTTGCTTTTCTTTTGACATCTGGGAACCAAAGATGATACATGGATTGGAACCAGAGTAAGGGACCTTTCCCTTGTTCCCATCTGACCAGCAGATGGCAATGCCTATGCCCTGCTGGAGGGAAAGGTGACAAGAACAGTCTCAAAGGATGACTCAGTTCCAGTGACTAAGGCAAGGAGGTGGTGGTGGTGGGAAGGAGGTGGGGGCGAAGAGGAAATGAGTGAACCTGTATCTGATGAAGGATGGCTCCAGCATAAAGAGATCAGATCTGGTCTTGGTGGGTTCCTGGCTCTGACACAGAGCAAACAGGGGCCTGAATTCTTCCTCATGCATCCTTCTACCTCACCTCATGGTGTGCTTCCTGTCTGCCAGGGGAGGCCCTTCAGTACAAATGCTGGGTGTCCTCTGTCCTCTGAAGAGTGGTATCCAGGTATTGGGCACTTGAATATCATTCTGGATGAACTGGGCGGGGGGGGTGGTGTTTGTTTTTTAATTGTCCTGTATTGCCAAAGTTATTGTGTATGAGTTCTGATCCTGACAGCCTGATAAGCTCTAGACTATCTCCTCCATCCATGGCACCACTTTATCATCCCTAAAAAGTCTACACCTGAACATATGGTGCACATTTATCCATCCCCACTTGTCCCCTCTGCTGGCAGAATGTGCCACCATCTACCCAGTCACCTAAGAGAGACCCCAAGACATCCTAGGTCCATCCTCCACCTGCATTCTCAATCACTCCAATATCCATATGAATTTCAGTGCTTGAACTTCTCGTATGGTTTCTGCTTTCCCTCCCTGTAGTAGCTGGCTCTAGACAGGTCTCCATCATGACTCACTATGGCTGCTTCTCACATCTTCTGACATAAGCCCTGCCTGCAGTATTTCCCCACCCTGTTTTTCAGACTGTGTATGGAATATGCTCAAAGTTCATTTCTAATCTTGCTAGGTTTTTTGTTTGCCATCCTTCAAGCCTTTTCTGCTTCTCAAGGAAGGTCCAAACTCTCAGGCCTTCCAGGATCCAGCACCTCCCTTGCTGGTTTTGCCTGCTGACCTCACCCCACAAACATACATACATATAGAGGTACACCCTGGATTCCAGCTAGCCCTCACTGTCCTGTATCGCATGGCACCCTTCCCACCTCTCAGTCTTTTAACATGCCACTCCTTCACACCGGTATGTGTTTCTCTGCCAAAATTACGTATCTTCCAAATCTGGCTCGAAGTTTCCTTCCCATGTGACCCTTTCAGCTGCTATTGGCCACCAACTGGCATTTCAACTGTTTGATTATGCCTCTCTTTCTTATGGATTGAGAGATCCTTGAAGACAGGGCTTTTTTAGAATATCCAACCAGCAAATACATGCTGTATAAATTAAATATCAAAGACATGCATAAAGTCATGAAGTTGATTTTATCCTCTGGTACCACATAAACGTCAATGTCTCCGATGCTGTATTGTTCTTTATACATACAGGTCACACTCCTGGCTCACTAACCAGCAGGGAATATTGCTAAGTTATTTTTCCCAAAGGAAGGACTGTGGGTCTACCCATATAGCAAAGTAGCAAAGTAGCTGATCTCAGAAACTTAGGGTGAGGTCACAGAAGTGCTCAAAGCATGTGCTCTACATAGGAACCCAAAGCCAGGACCTGGCCACCTCCAGACAGGACCCTAGCCTTGCCATCAACATAATCAAGTGTGTCTTCTCCCCACTGGGTGCTCTTCTGAAGGCCCTCACCCAAGGATTGCCACAGTCTTCAGGCTGCAAAAGGTGACACATCTGTGCCAAAAAAGCCACCCACACAGTCTCACCTCTTCTGGGTCACCTCTCCAATATCCCTTCACCTTCCAGTACCTCCCACACTTTGAGGTGCCACCCACAAGCTCACACATACACAGCATAACAGCTTGCCTATCTGCAGATCTAGAGTTCTAAACCTCAGACAACAGCATCTTTCAACGGGGAAGCAAGTATAAGCAGTATTTGGTGGCTCTGGTCTTTGGGTCTCCAGTAGCAGCAGCACACCCCTCCCCATCCACTGAACAGCTTCTACCAGTGAGAAGAGCTGAAACTAGTTTTCTCTGGGAAAATTATTTCTCTTCCCTGAGCCTCAGTTTTCTCAATTATAGGATGCCAATGAGGACTTTGCTCACCACTTTCCTTTCAGTATTAAACTAGTGCTTACAAAAGTACCTCATAAACACAGGTACAGTGCAAGCATATGCGATTCATAGAAATAATAATGATAGTGAACTCCTCCATTTCTAAGGAAGTCCTTTCGAATAAAAAGGAACAATTGAAAACCAAGAGGTTGTTGGGCCTGGTGGCACATGCCTCTAATCTCAGCAAAGGGAACCCATGGCCCGGAATGCCAGCCTGGTCTATGTAGTGAGTTCCAGGACAGCTAGAGCTACAGGGAGACCGTGTCTCAAAAACAAAAACAGAAACAAGCAGAAAGAAAGAAAGGAAGAAAGAAAGAAAGAAAGAAAGAAAGAAAGAAAGAAAGAAAGAAGAAAAAGAAAGAAAGAAAGAAAGAAAGAAGAAAAAGAAAGAAAGAAAGAAAGAAAGGAAGGAAGGAAGGAAGGAAGGAAGGAAGGAAGGAAGGAAGAAATTTAAGTGGTTATGTGAACAAGATTACCACCAACTATAACTAAAATTTTTTATAGTTATGTTGATAGAATAATATATTGATATTTATATGTTTACAGATAAATTTCTCATGTTTGAGGTTTTAACATACCCTCATGTTGATGCACTTTACAGATATGTGTACTGTATTGAAAGAGAAAAAAAATACTTGCCTAGAAGTCAGGAATGAAGTATAATGAAAAGGAATGAATTTTTGAATAAAACATACATAAGTACATAAATTCAAATCCTGACTTATTAATTTGCTTTTTGACTTGGGGTGATTTTTAAATTAACTGCTCCCAATTTACCCATATTAAAAATAGAAATCATATAACCTACCTCACAGATCTCCCATGTAAATTACACAAACCCATATGCAAAAACATATCTAAGACAGAGAGGGTCCAATAAATATTACTGCCCCTATCCTGTGTCCTGAGTCTCACTGACACACGGTGTGACCTGGGGCAAGTCGTGTACTCCTCAGACAATACTTTCTCATCTGTAAGATGAACAGGGTGG